GTTGATGTGATAATTACACGTCAATTTGTCTCGCTGGTCGTTCGCACCCTCCCCTTTTTAGTGATTCCCCGTGCTAAGGAAAATTATCAACCCAGAATATGGGAGCGGCGAGTTATTGCGCTCGTTGATTGACTACAGGTCCGAGAACCCTGACTCTAGCAGCTGGCTGCTGACGCAGCCGAATGAGCTGCAACCTCAGCGCTAGCGTCTTTCCTCCTCACTGCTGCTGCCTGCGTTCGGAGTAATCTCCCGGTTTCTCCAGCGCAGTTTTTTTGCACCAGATCCGGTTAACGACGCCAGCCGTTTCCTGCCGTGGCAGTGGGTCTTTCGGTCTCATTACTCGGCACCTGATGACTGCTTCTGGCCTGTGGGCAACTCCAAGTGGGGTGAGCAGACGGCTGACCGCTTCCGATACATTCCTCACGTATAGACGACCTCGCCAAACTTTTAGGCCGATTGGATTTGGTTTCTTGTCTCATGTGCCTATGTACTGGTTGACAAACTTGTGCGGGTAACCATTCGCTCTCAGTATTCGTCGAAGATATTATAATTCCGCAACCTTGTCTTCCATTTCGCTGCACTGTGTCTCAATGCGCCAATATAGCGCTCTTACACAGCTGCGTTTGTGACTTATCGGCTGGTTGCTGTTGAAGTTCAGGACTTGCGTATTGTTGGTCGCTTTCCTGAATACTTTAGTCTTAGGCCACTAACGTCTTTGCGGCAAACGAGGACATTTAGGAAGGCTGGCTGATTGTTTTCTTCTTCCTCCATCGTAAATTGTATGCGCGTGAAGACAGCGTTTAGACGTTTCTTGAATTATAGCATCTAATTCTGTTTGATTACTACGAGGATATCATACACATACCGAGCCCAGAACTTCGGCCTACGGTGTCAGCAAACCCACGACTTCAACCGTTGCAAGACCGTCTCTACTATGAGTCCGGAATTTATCGAACCCATGAGCATGCTTTTCATCTGCTTATAGATCATTCCCGTTGAACGTAAATTGCGTCTTCAGGCAGAATTTCGGGAGTTGGAGGATTTGGGCGTATCCGAGGTGATTCCCATCGTATTTGTTTCGTAGGAACAATTAGATGGTCTCGCCTGCCAGTTCCTGTGAAATAGAAGTAAAAAGGGACGTGACATCAAAAGATACCATGGTGTCGTTTGGCAGGAGGCCTACCTCTTTAAGTTTCTCCAAGGATTGTGTTGACGACCTGACTGTGGTGTCCGAATCAGCGGTGAAAAAATTGAGCCGTCAAAACAGCCACTTGGACCGTTCGTACTTTGGAGTACCTGCTGGCTGCCTCCGACCCGGGTGCTGCCCCAACTCCAGGTGGAGTTGGGAAGGCAGTTGACGACTTCTAAGGCCTTCGTCACGTACGGAACCCGACAAAATTTAGAGCCAGTTTGCGTATGCACTGTTTGAAAAAGTTACGCGGGTAGTCATTGGCTCTCAGTACCACTCAAGGCTATTGTAATTCTGCAAATTTATCTCCCGTTTCACTGCAATGCGTCTCAACGCACCGGTATAGCGCGCTCTTACGCAGCTGTGCTTTTAACTGATCGACTGCTTGTTGTTGAAGTTCATTCTGTGTGCACTCTAGTGACTTTTAACTTACACAACTGTGCGTGTGAGTGCGCGCCCATCCCAACTCAGACGACCAATCAGCTAGGCGGTGGCCTGTTGCTGGCGGTGGGGGAGAAAGTGGGGTCGACCCTCAGTGCATTTTCTTCTTCACTAAAAACAATCTGATGTGCTTGAAGCTATCACGGTGCGCTAAAAGCCACGGCTCGGGGGGCTGCCAACTGACGGGATAACTTGGACACCACAGTCAGTCCAGTGTGTGTTTTGTTGTATGAAGTGGCTTGTTGCGGGTTGAGAGTCAGGCTCAATGGCTCCTTCGTAATGCGGCCTTTATGGCGC